AAGACCCCAGAAAAACAGCCAAAGAACTGCAGGCGTCACTTGCCTCAATTAAAGTCAGTGTTCGTGAGTCCACCATTAGAAAGAGACGGGGCAAAAAACGGCCTGCATGGCAGAGTTCCAAGATGAAAACCACTGCTGAGCAAAAGGTTCATAAAGGTTCGTCTCAGTTTTTCCAGAAAACATCTTCATGATCCCCAAGACTTTTGGGAAAATACTGTGTGAAATGACAAGACAAAAGCTGAACTTTTTGAAAGATGTCTCTCCATTACATCTGGCGTAAAAATGACAGCATTTCAGAAAAGGAACATCGTACCATCAGTAAAATATGGTGGTGGTAGTGTGATGGTCTTGGGGCTGTTTTGCTGCCTCAGAACCTGGAAGACTTGCTGTGGTAAATGGAACCATGAATTCTGCCGACTACCAAAACATCCTGAAGGAGAATGTCCGACCACCTGTTCATGACCTCAAGCTGAAGTGCACTTGGTTTCTGCAGCAGAACAATGATCCAAAACACACCAGTAAGTCAAGTCCACCTCTGAATGGCTTAAGAAAAACAAAATGAAGACTTTGGAGTGGCCTAGTCAAAGTCATGACCTTAAAAAGGAGGTTCGTGCTTGAGAACGTGGCTGAATTACAACAATTCCACAAAGATGAGTGAGCCGAAATTCCTCCACAGTGCTATAAAAGAGTCATTACCAGTTATACCAAATGCTTGATTGGAGTTGTTGCTGCTGCGCGTGGCCCAACCAGTTATTAGGTTAAGGTGGCATTCACTTTTTCACACATGTTTGTTATCTTTAGTTCATCTTTGTCTAATAAGTACATTGGTTTGATCTGACACATTTAAGTATGACAAACATACAAAAAATAGGAAATCACAATCTGGGCAAACACTTTTTCAGACCACTGTAAAAGTGCACACAAAGAAAAACAAGTCATTTTGCAAAAACAACAATGCATGTGTGAAGTCCTCTTAAGAACTTAGAGGCTCACATGTAGGAAAACAAGGGTTTACCCAAACCACAAACTGGAATTTCTGTTGGTTTTTCTAAGTTAAGCAGGAGTTTTTGGAGTATAGTGAGCTTCAGTGAGCTTTAATGTGTGATAGAACCGCAGATGATTGTGATATCACAGTCGGATGTGGTTGCTGACAGTGAACTCTGGAAAGGTGAAAGAAGGATGAGGAAGTTGTGTGACAAGACGTTCAGTCACCCCCTTTATTTCCTGGGTCGACAACCCTCATCACTTCCATGCGATTGTCTTAAAGAGGATGTTATGTGTTCAGAGCTGCTCTGCACTTTCTCAACCACAGCTCTATCACTTCAAACGCCTCTGAACTGCTTGTTTACAAGCTGCAGACCATTGATTGTACAGAATTAGTTTGCATTCTAGAGTACAGTACATGTATAACACACAGGAACATCGTTTTCATTTTCTCTGCTCAAGGCTGTCATCTAGTGGCACCATGTTCAGTCAGTGTGAGAAGGAAAATACACAGGATGTGCTGTATCGCTGATTGCAAAATAATGGCGTATCTTTAATCACACGATGTTATCCTCCCGCCCTCTTTCCTCTGTTTTTTTTCTGTATGCTTTTTTTCTGAGCATGGTTTGAGTTTCACACAGCTGTGTGAGATGGGAATGGTGGTGATTTGTAGCACTATAATGGCTCTTCCTCTGCTGTGCTTCTCCTCCCAAACATTAAGATGACAGTTCTCACCTTACCTTGATCATTACTTACAAGAGCAAAGCCTGGTTTCACGGGGTGGATGAGGGCACCAAGTTGACCTGAGGGTGGGTGATGCAAGGCGAGAAAGGGTGGAGGACTTGCAGGTGTTCAAACTCCCCTGGCTATGGACAGGTGCACAGCACCTGCAGCACATATGTTAGTGTGTGTGTGTGTGTGTGTGCATGTGTGTTAGCTTAGGCAATCCTGTACACCAGCTGTGCACTATGAAGTTTCTCGCCGTCACACATTCATCACCCCTTCTGAAGCGCACACACCCACACAGGATTTACATACATACTGAAGCCCTCATGCATCAGGTGCTCCACACATTTCTGTGAAAAAAGGCCAACGTGTTAGCTCGTGTCGTGGGTCAGTAGGTGTATAATCACTTGCTATCTGTCACTAGCAAACAAATGCGTGGCACATCTTCAAGTCAGATCTGATGAGGACATCATGAGACAATACTGTGACCTCTGACCAGGGATCAGAGGAATGAGAAGATGTTGAAACAACGAGGGAACAAAGTGAAAAGAACAAAGCTAACAAAATTAAGCCCTCCAGCCACACTTTAGATGTCTCTTATTAACATTTTAGAAAGCGTTTGGCAGTGGATAAAAAAAAATGGGTAAAAAGGAAATGTCATTGTTATGTGCTGGACACTTCCTGCTTCAGCGGGAAATCTATGCTGGAGCTACCAGTCCTTAACTGCAAACCCCTCTGAAACCTTATACTCCAACTTAGTGTTACCTTATGTGCATTTCTCTATAATTCTAACTATCCATCATGTTGCGGACCGGTCTGTTTAGCACCATCGATTCCTCCTGTGCATTTCTGGCTACTTTTTCATTGCAGTTTTTGAATTTACCAGTGAGAGAATAAAATAATTGTCTAAATATAAGGAATCATTTTGATAGGATCAACACAAGGACTCACAAATGTCAACAAATTCGTATCGGAAAGCAACCTACATGGTAATTAACACATACAGCACCCGCACAACCATGAATGCGAGTGAAAATGTGGGCTTGTTGTAGGCTCTACAAAGATTCAAGTCTTACGCTGCGGTACAGTACAACAAAACATTTTGTTAATGTGTTAATTCATATGTTTTAGACAGACAACTAGCTAGAAACTAGTGTATTTTATTGGGTCACGAATAGACTACATTTCATGTAGTCATCTTGCTGTGGCCCAGAGTTTGACTGAAATGTCTCATTTTTACTGTGTCCCACTTACAGGGTGCAAAGGCATCAGATTTTATATCCACAATCAATGACATTATTGCCATGCATGCAAAAAAAAATCCCAATAATAATAGTAATAGCAATAATGAGTCAAATAACTTTTTTGTTCAGTTCCAGTTGCATTCACCTTCTCCTTTGGATTCAAAATTTGCTTTCGAAATTGTTTTTGTGTGGAGAACCTGGGAGTCAGTTTGTTCTGATGCTAATAATTAGATTTAAGTCATCGATTGCATGCAAGTGTCCTAAGTGTGCCGTTTGTTGTCACTGATTCAGCAGGCTGAAGGTCACTTTCAGACTGAAGGGAGTTTAATCAGGAGTCATTGTTCCAAAACAGTGGACCTCCACTCCTTCAGGGGGTTCCCCTCTGAGAAACAAAAAAGAGGAGGAAAGGGGCAGAGGTGACCAAATGAGGAGCTGAAGAGAAGAACTGCTACAGGTCAAAAGGGAGGGATAAAAGATTTAGTATAAAGACATGAATGGAGCAGGAAGAGAACCATTGCTTAAAACCCCATCAAATAATATGTATATCACTACAAAAGGAGAAAGTAAAGAAGGAGGCATCTCTGTAATTATCAATCCAACCAGTGTTTGGAGTATGATTATATTTACAAGTTAGGTCTCGAATCATTTTATTATCACAGACCGACATCAGGAAACTGCTCTGCTGCAGTTAGCATCCAACATAAAACAAAACCAGATCTCGCAAGTACACACATGTATAAACATGGGCACAAACAGAATTTCCTCAGCGTCTGGACAACATTACGTGGTGTATAGAGAGGAACCCCCCCTACATACCCTCCCTCTCTCTCCCTAATTATAGTCTGCATCACTGGAGTCTGAGGGCTCCTGAGAACTTGTTTTATCACTGTATTATGGAAGCACACACACACAGTAATAGACAGCATGTGCATTAAAACTACCATCTCCAACTAACAGTGTTCTTCTGTTGTGGTGAATATGGGAAGGAAAATACCAAGAGCGAGAGGGCAGAAGTGAAAAGTAAGGAAAGCCGAGGTCTCTGTCTTGTGGAATAATTTGATTTCGCTTGATGATGATGGACAACAAAAGGCCGCTGTGGGAACTGTAAACAACACGCACCGCAAACGATGGTGAGCCGGGTATCATGTGATGGTGCCAGGAACTCTCCCTGTGAAGCAGGGTGAAGGGGAAGTGTGGTGGAAAGGCAGAGGCCCAACTGATAAACAGAGCAAAGGGGTAATGCACATGAGGGCCAGCTACGTCGCTCTCAGGAGATGAATAATGAGCCAGGCTGCATGTAAACTGTGGTCAGAAAACAACAAAAGCTGCTGACTAACTGTAGTGGTGGAGAAGTGGGGACGCCCTGTGATTTGGGCTCTTGCCTGCACAGGGAGGCCACCTAAACATGCTCCCTTACTCTGAGCCAAAGCAGAACCGTGGATATAAATGTCCATTCTGTTTTGTTCAATATGTGGGCTCTATGACAGAGTTAAAGTCGGTTAAACTGACAGAGCTAATGTAAAGATGAGGACAGAATTATTAGCACCCCTATGAAATTTAAATCTTTTGTTTAAGGATTTCCAAAGCGCTGTTCAACAGAGCAAGTCATTTTTAAGACAGGTTTTCCAAACATCCCAGATTCTTAGACACAGCTGTGGGTTGTACTATGGCTCAGTGAAATGGTCAGTTTCTCAGGGGGCTAATAATGTTGATCCTGGTCAATTTTGTTTGTTCTGAATTATTCTCTGGAATAATTTATCTTTTATGGGGAAAATCAGTATGTTTAGGAATGCTACGCTAAAAAAAACCACTTTTTTAATAAAAAATTTTGACAGAAAATTTCAATTTTATAGGGCGGGTAATCATTTTGACCTCATCTGTATAAGATGCACTGGCATCATGGGGGTAAAATTATAGTAAATATGAGAAAATATAGACTCTTATCAGTTTTACACATAAAGACCAGTTGCTAGGTAACAGAGAGTGTGAAAACACTTTTGGAATGTGGTTAAGGCAGAGGTGTGTTATGACAATGACATCAGCAATCATATATTTGGGTTTTTAGTATCTGAGCATGTGACATACATACATAGACACTGGTGTCTTCCAGGTAGAACGTTCCACATTATGAACTATGCACAACCTGCATCATGGATCCATGTTTTGGGGACTCTGGTCAATTCTTAATTACCACATTTTACAATTAACAGCTAAATTATAAATATTACATTAGAAAATATTTGTTATAGAGATGCACTTCGTTTCCCTTTCTCTTACCCAATTTCAGACTCTCAAAAGTACCACTCAGAAAGAACACGCACATTTTTGGTTTATTTGCAAAGAAATAAAAAACAAATAGATTTTTTAAAAATGGGATAACTTGTTTTTCTTTTGAGAGCACTGACAACAATGCGCTGATTAAAAAGTTTCATCTTTTTTGATAAGACACTGAGGAAATTTGGTGATCTTCATCCCACTGATGCGTTCAGTCCCCGCTAACGTCAGATTTGTTGTTCTCCTTGGTGGACTTTTTGTTAAGTCCACTGAAGTACTTCTCTCTGAAGGCATTGTGGCCCTGGTAGGCGCTGAAGCGGGGATCTGACAGATGGGCCAGGCTATCAAATTCCTGGAAAGAGACGCAGAGGTTACTGTTGAATCTGCCTAACTTAAAAATCTACAAGTTGCCCACAGATATTAAAACAAATTATTCCGTTTACTAAAATATTCTTGCTGCTCCAACCAACATGACATCTTGCTAATAAAGTTTTCGTTATGAATAACATATATTACATCTTGAAAACAAAGAAATGAAGTAAATAAATAAATGAACAAAATCAGAAACACCTGAATAAAAGGCAGCTTTTATTTTTGCTTTGCTAAATTCCTCCTACAAATCAACACAGTACTCTCTCACAAGGTGTGCACATGTCTGGCATGTTTATAGAATAGGAAGAGTTATGCGTATATTAATAATACACACACAGGTGATGAAATAAAGGAAAAATCTAAGAAGATGTGGAAAACTCAACACAAAAGACGCCTCGTGGCACGTATAATAATGCTGAGCAGGTGTTCCAGGTTTTGTATGGATGGGAGAAGGGAAAGACTTAAATGCTTCTGGAAAATTGGATTTTTCTAAGGTGCAGATGGCAAGCGTGCCAGTCTCAAAGGCTTCTCAGGTGGGCAGTGTTTTAACAGGAACAGTGACTAAAGTGGTATGTGGCTTTAGATCTGCAGGAAAGAGTACATAGTGGGTAACAAATTATGGCTTTGTGATGTTTGTGCATTAATGACATTAGATATTATTGTCAGAAGAAAAGAAGCTGCATGTGGAAAAAGTGCTGACAGCCTGTGAGGCATCCTTAACCATACTGCTGAGAAGTGCATGAGTATCATAAACAGCCCCAAAAATGAGGGGTTCTGTTGCGCTAACGTGACATCAATCATCCCAAGTTTGTTTTGATTGATCGTCTTTATCACATAAATGAAACATTTCCGTCCTGATTGCAGTGGTCTCTCCCTTGATAAGAATGTCCCCATCCATGCAGCAAAAGAGAGGGAGCACTGAATGTGCTTTAAGTATGAAAATAATGTGTATCATATGCTGTGGCCTTTGCAGCCACCAAATCTCAACCCAACTCAACACCCGTAGGACACAACTCTCCACAACCATCATCAAAACACCAACTGAGGGAATAGGACTGGGAAAAATGGCTGATCCCTCCAGTAGTGCTTCACAAGCACACAAGACTGTTTATCTGTTACCCAGCTGAAAATCAGCTGTTGTGAGTCTCAGTTTTACCTCCACTATTAAGGTAAATGAGGTGAGTTGAGAAATGATGACTCCAATCCTGGGGCCTGTAATTTGTCAAAGACACCCCCTCTTTGCTTGCCGATGCTGCCAAGCAACCTGGAAACGTTTTTTATTGCCATTCTGAGGAAAAGATTCAGGTTTAAAAGGTAAAAAGACTGACAACATAAGCACGACCCCAGAGTGATGAGGATAAAAAGACGTGACTACAAAATTGGCACAGAAGACAACAGTGGTTCTTTACTCTTTCAGGTGGAGAGTTACATATACTGAATGTAAAAAATGAGGTGAATGACAAGCGGTCTGGGTAACCAAACAAATTTTGTAACACCGCATAAATAAGAAGAGGTGAGGTTTCTTTACGCAGCATTACAGGAAACCTTCAAAACAATTAGGCCAACTCCTCCACACACGCATAGAAAAGTGTTGACACACATCAGGCTGCGAATCCTGACGAGCGCGTGCAGATAGGTGCAGACGGAGGCCAATTTGAAAAAACAAACAAACTACAAAACAAAACAAAAAAACTCTACAGACCTGAGCTACAGATACCAGTCAGATAACCTCACACAACGTGTCTCGGTGTGTGCGTGTCATACCAGGCGCTTTATGGGAGCAATTTGGGGTTTTGAAGCGGAATGGATGTCAGATCCAAAGATGGATTGTTTTCCATACAATGTGTGATTATGCCTTTTAGGGTTCCAGTATAAAAGAAATGAGCCAATCACAGCCAGATGGTGAGGATTTACCCGAGACAGACAGAGAGACACCATCACTTCCAGCGGGAGACATGTAAAAGAACACACATACGCGCATACTACATCCGTCTCATGACGCGTGCGTTCATGACAAGAAAAAAAAAAACTCCATGAAAAAACATTAAACGCATGAAGGAACAGGCAGGCGGACACATGTTCTCATTTTACTAGAAGAAGAAGAAGTTATATCAGTTTATGTGTGTTTCATGCACACACATAAACAAATTCTGCAGCACGCACACAAATTTGGTCTGCTGTGAAGATATGAGGTCATTTGTAATGATGCAACCACAATAGATAACCTAAAAACAACATATTTAGCTAGTTGTGATGAAAATGTGCACTTTAAAATCCCTTGGCTTCATCTGGACAGTAACGGGATGAATGACATCACCTGAAGCAAACAGCTAACAGAATGAAAAATAATGACAAATGCCATCTATTTAATTGTTCTAATCAGCATCCAACGCAGCCTGATTTACTGCATTTGCTATCATGTGACGACAAACAGCATGTCATCGCACTGGAACTGGAAAATATTTTCCTTCTCTGTAAATTAGGCAACTGATTCATTTTGTTTCATCTCTTACACAAACACCCACATGGACACACCTCTGGTTCTTTGATCTTTTCCATGGTGATCAGACGCCGTGAGGTGTGGCTTGAGAGTGTCTGCTCACAGTTGCTGATGAGCTGGAGACATGGATGAAGAGGAACCATCTCCTCGCAGTACCTGGAAAGAGTCCCCACA